TGTGGTCAATGTCATGAGACAAAGTATATGTAAACTGCTGTATGGAAAGTGAATTTGCTCTGTAAATCTTCACCCAAATCACAATTAAAAAAAAAAAAAAAAGAATGGGGCATTCCAGACTGAAAAAACAACATATGCAAAGGGGAGGGAAAGAATGTTTGAGAAGCTGAAAGCAGGCTGACAGCTGATGCACAGAGAATTAGAGGTGGTAGCTAAGAGATGATGTTGGTACAGCAGGTAGGGGCAAAATCACTGAAGGCCTTGACCTTATCCTGAGAGCAATGGGAAGCCACTGAAGGAGAGTGCTTTTGCTTTACTTTGTTTTTATCTTTTTGACTATAATGAGAATAAGCAGGAGTTGACAAAGGCTAGATGCAGAGACTAGTTGAAAGTTATTAAAGTATTCTAGGTAAAGGCAACAGTACTTGAGCTAGGAAGGTGGAAACAAAAAGATGCACTTAGGAGATAAATTGGACAAAATCTGGTGATAAGACAGAATATGAGAAGGGATCAGAGGTATCAAGAATGATCCCCAAATTTCTGGCTTGAGTAATAAAATGGATGGTGGTACAATTCACTGAAATTTGCAAAACTAAAAGAAGATTAGGTTAGGTAAGGAAGAGAGATGACAAAAATCATGAATTTGGACTTGGACATGTCAGGTGTGAGGTGCCTTTAAGACATGCAAATGTAGGTATTAAGTGGGCACTTATATAGAGAGGGAGTTCTGGTAAGATGGTGGAATAGGCAGAAAGACTGCACAGACCCTCTTCAACAAAGAAAAGGGGAACCAATTAACACAAATACAGAAGATAATCCTGGAGCCCTGAGCTTTGAAGGGAAGGATATAGAAATGGACTAAACTCCAACTAATAGAAGAATTCGCATGAAAACACCAAAAAAAGGAGACGTATGGAGCTGCAGTTTGGCAGCGATCCTCATGGCACAGTTTGGATATTGCCAAGTGGTGTTAAGGACCTAAGAATTAACCTAAAAATCAGT